CAAATGCTTCTACGCATTACATACATTCACATAAACTTAATATATCCCCGTACCCACAAATAGTGTAGGGTATAAAAGAAATAAGCTTAAATATAAATGTTACAGTGGGATACGGCTCCGCATTGAATACCTTACACATCTGCGCTGTATACAGTTATTGGTATAACGACTTCTCAAAACAAAGTCTTATAGGGCCGAAGTGATTCCATCCAAACTATTGTGAATAGTGTTCGCTCTTGGGTCAAAACATGTGGGTATACGAAATCTCATCAAAATAAAATCTCAAAAATTGCGACCTTGTGAGGTTGAACAAAAGAAACCAAGACAGACAGACGGACGGATGGACAAAGTGATTCTGAATCGATCGGTATCGATAATAAGATTTGGGCTTATCTCAAATGCTTCCACGCATTGCATACGTGCACATAAACTTAATATACTCCCGGGGATAGGGTATAAAAGAAATAATTTGTTTAAGAAAAAATTTCCGCCGTTTCTCCTACATACTATACTATGCATATTTTAAAATTGTGAGTTATATTTTTTCTTTTTGTTACTGCGACGTATGTACTTGTGGGCGAATCAAACTTGTTTGAAAAACTGTGCCATGCTTCAGCTTTCTATTCCAATTATGACGATCTCAATAATTCCAATAAAAAACTACAGATGCCAAGATGGAGTGAGATGAAAATCACTCCACTGAGAATCGAGCGATGATCAACAGCATATACGTTATGTGCAGTTTTTAACATATAACATGACATAATTGGTTTTATAATCGCTTTTAGTCGCCGTCATTTTCTGCACGCACTAACTATTTCGCTTGAAATCAAATTTCTCGGCTAACATTGTACTGTTGCTGTTGGCGTTGTTTTTGTGGATAGATTTTCAAAATTACTTTAAACGGATGTTGTCCGATATAAATCGTATTACACTCGAGATCAGTTGTGATACAGGGCGTAGTAGGCTTGTGCGGAAAAGCTTAAGAAAAACTCAAGTTTTACTATAACCATCGATTCAAAGTGATTTTGCTGAACGGATTTAAAGCGTAACAGCATTCTAAAATCTTTAATAGATTCCTTGGAAACATTAGAATACTACCTTAAAGATTGTTTTCCCTAAAATTTTGTACTTTTTCGTGATGGACTCCTAAAAGATGTGAAACATTGCTGAGAAGATACAGTCCAATGTCTTGCTTAGCTACCACTGTTTTCTCTAATGCCGTATGAGGTGTCATTAGAAATTATTACTTAGTCTTGATATCGTGTGCGATTTTTCACTAGGCAGTAAAATGACTTCTTTTTCTTCATATAAGATATAAACTTTTTTTTCTGCAATCGCGCGAATCGTTGCGTCGACGAGCTTCAATCATAACCTTTAATTAGTCACCGCCAACGGTGTTTAGTCTACGCAGTAGTAGAACGCAGTAAAGCTTTAATTGCACGCAATTTGGCAAAATAATTTTGGCAAGTACTTTCTGCTACAGCATTAGTTCTATATACGGTACATATTTCTCTATGTCCCTCTGCGGTTCTTTTGTCCTTTTTAAAATAAACGCAAGCCTGCTCTAGATAACCGTATAAAGCTTTAAAGCACTATTATCTGACCAGCTACTTAAAAAAAGTTATTTTGACCTTGTACAGGGAAAAACCGCAACAAATTTCCGGACTACCTAACACTTGTGTTCATTTAGAAGCGTTTTCAAACATAAATATTCTAGTGTGGCTTTATCAAGACGGCCGTTGGGTAAGTATGAGGTTGAGAATGGCTCGAAAGGGGTTTAAAAGTTTCATATATAATTTTGTTTGCTTTGACGGGGATTGCAAAAGAGGCGCTTTCCAGATGAGAGACGAGAATGAGGAAAACATTTCAAGACGGGAGGGTATACGTGGACTAATGGGTAAAATAAAGGAAAAGAATTAACTCAAGAATTTTTCGCAATAATTCGAAAATAATATTCTCAGTAGGATGGACCTAAGAGGCGGGACCTAAGATATTCTCGCAAGCTAATTGAAACATACTTTATTGATGGAAGAGTGTCATGTTCTTAGTACACCAACGAGTTCTTCTTTAGGCACGGGAATGTAGATTAAATCATTTTTTGTTGTTTTTAAATATAAGTTTGGACCAAGTTTCCTCTTTGAGCTGAAGAGGTCACCAGAGAAAGGTTCGAGTTTCTCCATTTTCCCGAATATTACTATTTTATTATCATTCTTCCATCACTAAACAAAATATTATACCAAACCAAGCTCTAACTTAAACTATAGGAGTGCTATTACCCTTTGAGCATGTTTATCTGTCTGTCCATGCATTTCTATGTTCATCTTACAGGTCGCAATTTGTGAGATATTTTGAAGAAATTTGGTACGCTGACTTGTCCTGGCTGTGCCACGAATCCTATTAACGATCTGACTATTTACGCGGCCAATCTCCATGCAATGCCAATTGCAATGTCTAAAATTTGTCGATAAAAATTGCGAGTTAATAGTATTTCAATAGATGTGAAAAATTTGGAACAGATTGGCTGATGTTGTGAACCACTTTCGTTCGATCGAATAGTTTGATATCTAAAATTTCATCGTAAGAGCTGGACTCCGCAATAGTAGCTCGACATAAATATCAACTATACCAAATTTTCGATCACTTACTTATGTGTTTTGTATCTCTCCCCATAAAATGGGTTCTCATGAAGAGTAACTCTCTTTGCAAGACAAAGAGCTCCATCTGTTTTTTTTTAAAGGTTTAATATGTAATTTGATCCGTAGTAGAAATTTGCCATAAAACTTGACTGTATCACATTCGGATAACATAGGTCACTTCTAGAAACCCCTCTCATGCCTGGTGGTAAATCTTCGTATGACAAAGAAGTCTATAAAAGTTAATCCATAGTAGAAATTTGACATAGAAATTAATTATTCGAATAACATAGGTCTATTCTTTGGGCCCCACTCCGACTAAAGATGCTCATGAAAAGCAAGCTTTTTTGTGTGGGGAAAAGGGCCGCATTTTTAGTATTCTATGGCGAAGAATAGGTGAATAGTAATAAGTTTTTTTTTTTGGGTCACGTAACAGCTACCGTGAAAAGCAGAGTTAATGTTAGGTAATTTAATGGTCGGCCTGAACATAATGCTTTTACTTGCTGTATTATTGTAAATATCAACTCAATGTATGCATCAAAGAATGTGTATGTAGTCTTGTATACACGTGCCATGACTCATGAATCATATGAAACTTCTGTGGGATGTTAATGACAGTTGCACTAACTTAACAGAGAAAATTATCTTACATTGATCTTGAAAGCGTGCGTAATTTTAAACTAAAAAAATTCCCTTTTCCTTCACGTTGTATTACGTAGAATTTGCGTCAGTCGGCCTACTAACATATTCGCTACAAATAAACATCACATATATAGTGCTTAGTGCAGTGTGCGGGTAACCGACATTGGAAAGAGGTCTGTCTGTCTGTCTGTCTGTCTGTCTAATGTAAGCTTTATTTTCAATTCACATCAATAGTAAAAATGCTATCATGGAAAAATGGTAGTGTATTTGAAAGATTTCGGTTCAAGTCACACCAAATTTGTGTTGTATTTTGTGCCAAAAAAAAAAAAAAAAATGACAAATTTTATAACATAATACATATGTGTATATGCTGTACAATGTACTTATTTTTATGCAAGTGCTATGCTTTCACCTGTAATACAGATGTTGTTTTGTAATAATTGTCTTCAACACACAAACTCATAAACCCGACGAATTGATGAATTGTTTCAGACAAAACATGTCAATTACCTAAAATATATATATATATATATATATATAATACATTATGATACAAGTTCGAATCACGTCCCGAAACGCATATTATGACAGAAAATAGATTAAAAAGCTACAGACGCACAACATGCGCACACGTATTAAACACACATACAAATTGCATAGTTAGTTTATCGCATGTAAACTTAAATATTTATTACGTTTCAAAAGACAGGGGGAGTATGGCACTGTATGGAGAATTGACAGCTACATGTCATTAGGTGTGAATAAAAAGTTAAAAAAAAAAATAATTTGTTTAAGTTAATCTAAAAGAGAGTGTGTGAGAGAGGGAAAAGGGGAAGAGGAGAGAGTGTAAGCAAAAGTTTCTACTTGACTTCTTTCTTAAGAGCATTGTACAGGTGTCATTGTCTATTGATTTACTTAAAAGAATTTTTTCCGTTCTCGTTGATCATTCAAAAGTTAATATCTCGGGTAAACTGAAAGTTTATAGTACATATATAAAGCCGCAATTGAAAAAGGTTAAGAAACGCTGATGTATTTAGCTTCTTTTTTTGTTGTTGTAACATTTCTGCGATAGTCAAGCAAACAGTAACGGTATGGATATGGCTACGAAAACATATATTATTTCGAGGAGGTTGTTGTATTGTCTCATTGATTACACGATGGTGGCGATAATAATTACGTAACAATCACACATAGTAATTCGTTTATTTTAATTTTTACTTATCGTTAATGTTATGTTAAACATGTGCCCGAAAACTTCAAAACCAACTCACATTACCCTTATTTTGCGCGAATTTTCGATTTGAAATCTTAATATAACAATCATATCATGTCAACATTGAAATGTCAGAGTTCATATACTAAAGTGTGCATAGATTTGCATTTTAAAGAAGAAGAAAAAAAGAAAAAAGAAGAAAAATTCATTACTCGGAAATTTGAAGAATGAACGGCTACAAGTCGCCAAAGTTAAATATTTTTTCATGAAAAGAAGAGACTTTCATTTCAGTTACACACTCTTTTAGCTGCTCTACGGCAGTAAATACATAATACACATGCATGTATTAAGCCAGCAGGTAGTGCAGAGAGTGATAGTAGAGATAGGCAGGCAGGCAGGGCATAAGTAGCTTTGCCATGAAAATATTATTTTCGATGAATGAAATTAAAATGATATTAATACACAAATTGATTATTATTTTTATATTTATAGTCAAAACACAAACTTACGGTTTCTCGTTTAAAAATTCGCCACGCGTAAATTCTGAGAGCCGACGCGATTTGCCTTTTTTAGCTGCTACAGTTATCGCTGCCGGCGTTGTTGTATTCAAAGTCTTACTATTACACGCAATTATTGTCGACGATAAGCTTGAGTTCGGACAATTGCTTCTATTTGCTAAGCATGGGCATGCGCATTGGTCGGCCGTTTTACCCGCCGTTAACGAGTGCGTACCAGAGCACGTAATTTGCTGCGAGGCTGCTACTGCTGCTGCAGTCACTGCTTCAATTACACCTCCGACATAAGAACCCATTATATTGTCGGCATTGCGTAATGATTTCATGTTTTCATTGGTTTTGATAAACGTATCATCGCAACAGCAATCGTGTATTAGGTCGTTGGTCGATAGGGGGGAAGAACACGAAGAAATTGCTGGCTTTGGCAAAAAAGTAAATTCTAGAGTATTTGATATATCGGCGATTATATCATCATCATCATCATCATCATTACTATTATGGTTTGCGGGTTGGCAACAAAAGCAGTGCGGAGGTGACATTTGATTTGATAAACGACGCAATTTTGGCAGGTCTTTGACTTTCGCGGAGGAGCAGCAATTTTTATTTTCAGCAATATTGGCATAAGATAACTTTTTGCCTGCGCATAATTGCGTAAAGGCTGCGATTCGTCGTGTAGGTGTTGGAGACAAAGGCGGCGATATTGTTACCGCAGTTGAAATGGCATCAAGCGAATTCGCTTTAACTATTTGCCCGCCCGTGATACCGCGACGTTTCGCCGCTACACGCGTATACAATTCATCGCTGTCAAGTGGTATTAAATTTGATAGGTTATGCGTACTTCTCTTTTCCGAATTGTCGCGATTGTTGACCTGAATTTTCATTTCTTGCGCTTTACTATCATATTTTGCATGATTACCACCTGATAATGTGTCTAATATACTGTAGGATAGCATATTCGATAATCTTCGCATTTTATTTGATTTTGTTGACTTTGTGGCATTATTGCTGGCATTATCGTTGGTCGTGACATTTTTCAAAGCACTTTTATTAGCAGCTTCGTTAACGACTTTTGCTGGAATATCGTTGAGTTTACTGCTGCTGCTGTTGCTGTTGCTGCTGGTTTCATTAATTCTACTGACCACAAAACGATTCTTACCTTTAATTAATCTTTTTGCTTCATTCGTTGTTGTTGTTGTTGTTATTAATTCAGTTGCAGCAGTCGCATCGATTTTCTCTTCTTGCAAAATATCGTAAATTGTACTATATTTGCATGTTGGGACGACAGCAATTGCACTATTGTCTGTATTCGTTGCTGCTGTTCGCTGGATAATATCTTTGTTGTTCGCATCGTTGTGCTCTTCTGTGTTAGGTGGTTTGTTCTCTTGCTGTTGCTTCTGAATAATATCATAAATAAGACCAGACTTTTTAAGTCTTTCCAAATCTGTGCGTTTACCCTTTTTGGAAACATCTCTGTCTAAGATCGCCGATAAACCTTTAAGTTGAAATGGACCATTACAGCTTGAAGTCGACGTCGATGACGATGACGACGACGAGGACGACGAGGACGACGATGTTGTCGGCAATGACGTCGTTGTTGGGGATGAAATAGACGTTTGAGAAGTTTTACGGCGTAAAATTTCATAAATTGTCCCGTAAGTCATATACTTGTCGTAGTGTTGATAGGTTAGATTGTAAATATCATTTTTACGTTGAATAATATCGTAAATGGTGCCATAGACTAATTTGTCGTAAATTTTCAAGTTGCGTTTATAGGCGGCATTCGGTGAATTGGCTTTGACGTTAGATACTAAGGAACGAGATTGTAATTGAAGTGAACCGGGTTTTGGCTCGGCGATTGTCTCATTTCCCTGAGATGTGGGAGCCGCATCCGATCCTGATTTCTTGGCATGATCATTGGTTTTGAGAAAATTGCGACGCGTCAATAGAAATGATCCATAACTTTTGCGATGTCGTGAATTTTGACGCTTGAACGGTGCCACCATATCCATTGGTTGCTTCTCCGAAGTCGTTGTCTCGCATTCACGCACTAAACGCTTGAATTCTTCATACGATTTACGACGCGTTTGGGCTTTTTCTTTTTCTTTGGTCATCGTATGATTATCGAGAATTTTCGCTAGGAAATCGGAATTTTTGCGTAAAATATTTGTGGTATTGCTGGATGTGGTTGTGGTTACTCTGTTCGTGGTCAATGCTAATGTATCGACGACAGCAATATCAACTTTATTATCATTATCAACAGGAATTATTATTGTGTTTGTGTTTGTGTCACTTGTGCCTGGTACGGCATTAAACCCGTTTACCAAATCCGGTTTGCCATCATCTCTATTGCAGTTAAAATTTAAATTCGCGTTTTTCTGTTCAGTTAGATTAGTTGCCTTTACTTGTATTGTAGGTATTATTGCACATGGTTTTGTTAATGTTACTGCTGCTGCTGCTACTGCTGCTGCTGCTGCTGTTTCTTGTTCGGATATTGATTCTAAAGTCTTCGTAGTCGACGCAGTCATTGGGCTTTCTATATTTTCACTGATTGGCTGACTGAATGATATTTCGCATTGCACCTCTTTCTCAAGCATCTTTCTAAGATCTTGATAATTTTTGCGACGCACTTGTGATTTACATTCGGCAGAGTAACTATCCGTATGTGCGGTTTCCGTTGTTACAAATAAGGCTTTAAATTCCTCATAAGATTTGCGTCGATTACGTGATTGTGTTAAGCATTCCTTATAGTTGAGACGAGCGATTTTTTCACTTCCAATTTCATGATCCATCGTGTGAAGGCGAGTTGGATTATGTACGTTATCACCATTTGAACTTACAATTAAATTATTAAATATACTTGATAAGGACGGATGCGTTTGAAATGAGTTTTCAGTTTTATTTTGCATTTCGATAAAGCCCGAGTCCATCGAACTTATAGTGCAAGTCGAATCAAAACTGGTCTTTCGGCTTGAGCTGTTACTTCGAGCCGGTGGAGGTGATGTGTTCGTATTCACATTTCTTTCAATTATTATGGTCTCGAATGGCTCGATAGCCGCTACCGCCTGCGGTAGATCTTCATTGGGACGCGAAAGCAAATCTACAGTTTGATTATTATCACAATAGCTTGATGCAAAGGACATAGGTTTAGCTGAGTTTTTTGTGTCCTCAACGTCTTCGAAACTAATTAAATCCTTAACTATCGGAGAAGGACAACCGGATGTCGCATCCATTATATCCATACTATCACAGATTATTTGTCCTCTTTCATTCCGAACATTTTCCAGTTCATTCTCAACCGTATCCTGCAAACTGCCAATTACAGCACCGATCTTTCGCTGCCTTTGTTTGTTAACACTCTTCGTCTTTTTCACGGCACACGTTTCCGTTATATCGTTATTTTTTTTATATTTCACTTTCATGTCAACTTTCGAATTACGAGCGATCTCAACTGAAGGCCGCGCTGAACTCGTCAATAGTAACGTTTTTTCAACATTTGTAAGCTGCTCTTTATTGACCGTTGCATACAGAGCCAAAGTTGAAGTTAATGGCGGTAATGATGACGGTTGCTGATCGACTGTGCTCGATAAAACCAATGGTGTTATTTTACTAATCGTTGCTGTAGTTTTTGCTTTACGTAAACCGTTTGTTAGTACACTACCGCAACCACCACCACCACCACCACCATCATCGCCACCGCCTGCAATAGGGCACGCATTACGATTGTGAAAGGCTTTGACACTTTGCATAGGTAATTTATGACGATTATTGTGACGATTACGCATAATATTCGCGGCCGATATATTGCAATGTTTGCGTTGATATCGTCGTGCGTGTTTATTGGCAATTGTAAATGCAGGACAAACCAATTGTTGTAGATCATTGACTTTACCATTGCCTTTACCGTTCAAACTATCATTTAACAGAGTATTGCGTGAATGCGCGTAAGATCGTTCACGCGATTTCAAATAACGTTGCAAGAGCGTCTGGAACTGTGCTTTACGATTATTGGCAAAATTCGGTGTAGATTGCTTCGTGGTACATCGTGACCTATGACCTTCGTTCATGCATTTAGCGCAGCATAAAAATTCATATAAAATCTCACCTTCTGCGCATGACGGCGGTTCAAGGAATGTTGTTGAATATTTCGGTTCTAATGGTAGGTCCTTTTTAAATGCCGAATATGGCTTTGTGCTGGGCGTTGTCGAAGGTACATTGGCACTATTACATGCCGCCGTTTTCATGGGCATAATTAAATACGCTTTCTTGAGATTTTCACTCACTTTAGCAGCATCTACGTTCATTACATTATTCCGATCAATATTCTCTTTATTGCCGCCAATCGAAAGTTTGCTATTTTTCACTATAGAACTTTCTATACTGATGCCACTCTCGAGTAACATGAAAGTACCGTCCGAGGGTAAAATCAAACGGCCTTCTGCAGCAGCATTCACTAATTCACGCAATGCTAAAACTTGTTTTTCTGTAACATTGCCCTGCAATTGTATGCCGTGTAAAGCAAACGCAATCGGTTTGTTATTGATCGATTTCGGATCGGAACACCAAACAACGGGCATGGTTGCCATCTTTCCGGAAGTTTTTACTTTCTCTTCAATTTGTTGTCTGCTTAACAGTAAGCCAAGCGTTTTTATCAACTGTAAATTTAATAAAATGAGGAACGACGACGATATACTTATACTTAACACACATGAATAAATCATAAAAATACCAATGTTTCTATTCGCTTCTCTTCTTCTGCATTTTTACATATATTTCTAATAAAGTTTTTTAATCTTTTTATGTGATTTTTCCTATTTCGGTTTAATAATCGCACCACAAAGATGATCCCTATCCTAAGCATTTTCTGATAAACGTAACGTTGTTACAAAATATGCTAATACACAAGGAAAAAACATCGAAGAAATGAATTATTATTCGGATATTAGGAGTCGGTCGAGTCGAGCACGATTCGATTTCCGGTCCTTGTTATCAAGCTAGGTCGATTCCAGATGTATCGGATTATATTTTATGGCGTAGGTTTTAATTTTCTTCGCCTGAATCTTCCAAGTCAAGCTAAGTATTAGAAAAGTATATCTCGACAGGAGTAACTCAAATGTGTTCGGGGTCTCGACGGTTTAGCAGACCAGTCAAAGAGAAGAAAACTTGCTTTATTTTAAAATTTAAAACTAAAAAAAAGTATTTTGCTTTTTTATTGATTTTATTGTTCTTGTCGCAAACCGCCCGCTAATGCGTGTAAAGCCTAAGTTATGAAATTTGATCCAAATATTTCGAAACCTGGCAACCTGTCGGTTGGCAAAAGAAAACAGGATAGGCAGACAGGTAGGCAAATATACTGAATTCGGTTCGGCAAGTGATTTTGAATCGTTTAAAAAGTATGGAGATAGTATTGTAGGTAGTGTCGGGTTGATCCACCTACAGCACGATCATGCAAGAATTCATAGGATAAAAAGCAACACATGGATCGGTTTAAAATGTTCATAGAGAACGTTCAGACTAACCAAGACCTCACAAAATTGTTCAATCAGGACTACGAGAAAGTTTTTAACAAACAGCAAAGACAAAGATCTACTATATATATAAGATTAGCAAATAGTAAGAGTAATATTTTAAGAAATTTCATCACTATAATCACAAAAGTATATGCTATGAATGAAGATGATTTAGATCGAAGAAACCATGTAAGCAAAAGCAAAGGAGATCTCCTAAAATATCTTGGTTTTGTTCCTCAGTTCTAACGTCATTCGGTTGCATTAGGTGAAGGAAAAACTTCATGGCATTTTTGACCATATGTGGATTTAGAATTTAGAGTCAGTCGCACTGGAGGTGTGCTTGTAAAAGTTGACAATTCGCAGATATTAAAAAAAAAAAAAAGAAGAAGACAAGAATATTCTTATGTTTATCGTTAACTGAATCAAAAGTAATTGTGTTTTAAAAATGCACGAAATTATTGGAAAAAGTCATTTACTCTACAATATCACTTCGAACAAGACGATAACGAATCCGAGACCTGTGAAACAAGACGCGATGTTTATGATATGGATGTTTTATCAAATGATTCACTCGATGACATCAAATGCGAAAAATTTTCCCAATATTTAACAAAATTCATTGCTTGAGACATTTAGATGAAATCGAATACAATGTCATTTCTGTTTATCAGTACGTTTGTCTAATAAATGTTAAAATGTTTTTGATAAGCAACAGATTCAATCGACTTTATCTGTAAAGCACAAACTGTAACACATTAATAAACTTTTGCCGACTTGTGAATGAATGAATATATTTATGAATGAATAAATCATTTACATATAATGAGAATAAACGTTAACCTCGAAGTTATTAAGAAAAATACTGTATGTGTGTGTATACATATAAAAATACACAGTTGCCTATGGAAACCTAAGAATTGAAAATTAACATAATGTGTGATCAATAGCGTTTACCTGTTAATTATAGAGAAGCAACCAGCAATAAGTAATAAACACAACCTAGGCATAGCATAACACTCTCTCTCTCTCTCTCTACGTTTATAATTATAAGTTTTCCATTAAGCAATGAAAACTTCATTAAATAACAGAAAACAAGAAAATTTTATTTTCGTCTGTAATCGAATCTTTCGTGCTCTTTATCGTTATCGTAAGAAAAAAGGACTAACTAAAAGTACTAAAAAAAAAAAGAGAAAAACTAATTTTATGTACTCCTTGCGATAGGGTGGGCGTGGTGACTTCAAATATTTTTGGAATAAAGTTGGAAACTTATCTCACGTGTGTCTATTATAGCTTAAGAGTAACGAGAAAAAATGCAGAAAGCAAAGATGGTGTCACTTTATAATGCATTGTAGGCGTGTCTTTTGCCTAGTTTGAGCCATTTTCAAACTTCTTTGCAAATTCAAAAGCGACGTCTTCGCTTCGACCACAGACACCACGCGTATGGACAAAGGGACAGATGGACATCTTTAAGTAGATTTAAAATTTGATACTGGTCAAGGTTTGTATATACTTTCTGGGGGTTGTGAAGATTGCCTTTGACAGCAAAGTGAAATCTTGGTATACTATAATATGGGGTAGGCATGGCCGACTTTTCCAACTTTTGCACGGATACTACAGCATCGCCCAACGAATACAGAAAGAGCAAAAAACTAATTTGGTGTCCTGTTGAAAAGTATAAGGTAGTGTAGGCGTGTCCTTCCACCGATTTGGCCGATTTTCAGTATCAACCAGTGTGCAAGAACTTTCCATGTTTTTGAAAATTTGAAGCGGATTTTCTTTTTTGTCCCGGGAAAATGTGCGCATCACGCATTACACAGACCGACAGACGGACATACTCATCTCGATTCAGAATTTGATACTTTTTAAAATATATATATATTTTTTATGGAGTCCTGAAGTTTCCTTCAGGGCGTTGCGAGTTTTTTGATAAACTAAATATACCCCTCATCCTTCGGTGACAGGTATAAAAACGACATAATTTTGGACGGCCTTCTACGTGGACCGATGGAGGCGTAAGCAGAAACTCTTTATTTCGAATCTTAAATCCTAACCGCGTTTCTTCAAGTATATTGCCGGGTGGAGGGTGGCTTACGAACGATGATGGAAACGCAACATGCACACATTATCATGATTATCAATAGAGTAAAACATGATTTCATTCATTAAAATTTTTAATCGTTACTTATTTTTACAAAAGAAACACACTCCAAAACTCGTTTGTTTGCCTATTTATATAACTTGTCCTCTGTCTCTCTACCACTCTCTCGGATTTCCATACAGCGAATCCATGTTTGCTGTTAACTTAAAAAAAAAAAAAAAGGAAAAAACATTATCTTGATGTTCATTCATGAGGATTGGCGTTTGCATGAATTTATTGCAATTAGAAATTTTCGATATGTAATTTGCATACACATGCGTGGTATATACATGCACATATACATACACATATCTGCCTGTCATAATAACTAAGCTCAATATTTAATATGTATTTGCAATGAAAATTATTGCCATTTAAATGAATCTACACGTATGCATCGAAATAATAAAATATTAAAATGGATTTAATTTGCCTTATTCAGCTTAATTAGCTGACTACGGGTACGATAAAAGTACACCATCAATGATGTCATGCTGCTTAAAAACAACAATAAGTTGTCCCTACACTATAAGTTACGATATTTGAAATGCGTAAATATATAACATTATAGGGAAAACGCATGTTAACTGATTGAATTTATGGCATTTGCTTCATATACCTATCAAAGAGAATCGATGGAACGAATGCATCGCAGATGTGATCTGCGGAATGTAATTACGACCTTTTGAACGTTTGATCAAGCGGATAGATACATGATTAACCGGATTCAGAAACGTGATCGTGGCAATTGAAGAAAGCTGGTTTAAGAGTAAAGCGAATGAATGAAAAGATATATCCATACATCTTTAAAGAGAATATACTGAAAGATAAAGGTGATTTAATAAATGGTTAATATATGCTGTGTCCACCGATGTTAGATGCTTGGTAACTCGGTTTAGAAAGGAGTTGTGTCTCAAAATATTAATGAAAAATTACCTTTCCCTCCGTTTAGACGGGTAACTTAAAAATATACTTAGCATTCTCGTAAGCTCCTTGTGCCCATGCCACGCAACGACCTTGAATCAATTATGATCTTTGAAGACAAATCTTTAGGTCCCCTCATACTTCATTACCAAAACCAAAAAAAAAATAAAAAATAATAATAAGTCACCATTAAATGCCATGCACCATTTCGTTTAAAATATTTACGACTTTTGGAAACAAGGCTTTACATAAAATGTAATCCACAAAGTAGTCCGATCCGAAAAATTGTCAACAACATTTGTCTTTTTGCCGAAATACGTTGGTCCATCCTAAAAATTTCGGCCTGTATGTTGAATACAGGAACATTGAAGGCGGACGGACAGACAGACACAAGCCTAGATCGATTCAGAACATAGTTCCTAATCGATCGAATTTATATCAGGTGCTTTAGGGTATTGTATACATCCACATAAACACAATGTATATCCTAGCATTACACGTGCTGTATGATATACAGCCTTCGTATATATATCTTATGTTTATACATAGTTTGCTTTTAGATAGAATGAATTTAAAGTATAGAAAAAAGCAATGACTGTTTAATTGAGCCCAGGAGTCTCTTAAGTGACTGTGAGTCACATCCTGGTATAATTTGTTATACAAAAAGACTTGGAAAGTAGGGCATTGCAAAACCTATAGCCTCTTAATTGAATACAAAAATATGATGAATATGACCATAACTTCGGCCTATTTCTATTTATATTCTGGTAAAAAATGGTTTTTCTCTATTTGCCATTGCTCATGATATGTCTTTTAAACCATTTTATCCAAAAGACTTATCCAACACCGACCAATTCTCGCTATAAGTTATTCTTCCTTGCTGTAGATAATAATAATAATAAATATCTAAAATTTTAGAAGTTTTTTTAGAGCAGAAGTTTCCGTTTTCGTTAAATTCTTTTGATCGTCACTTATTCCCATTCTTTGAAGTTGCCTACGGTGTCAACTATTTCACGTGGCTTTAACGCCCTCACTCTTATCAGTCCGTGTGTCTGCCTGTATGGTGAACATATTCCCCATATTG